ATCTAATCCTTCTCATCTTCAAGGGAGTACAACTAACCCCGCCCCCACCCACTGTCAGACTCAAACGACTCTCATCGGTGAGGAGAGTTTGACCAAAGAATATGTATTGTATGAAGAATACGACCAAACAATATGTACATAGACATTCTTTGGTTTGACTCTATTGATGTGTCTTATGCTCTCTACACCACTGTGAACTGTGTTGCAATGAGCTTCTGTCAATAATATATAGCGTTGAGGAGGCTGGCAGACAGGTCACCTTTATGGATGTAGTCTGGCCACAGTAAACCGGTTACCGTAGGCAACCTGCTGAGCAAATTTTCCCGCTGTCTGGTTTCGATCTCTTTTCGCCTGCAGAGTATCGCTCATAGTCACCGCTGTTTTTCTTGGTCGACCACAAACATTTCTTACAACTCTACCTATCTTCTGAAAGGTTTCAAGGCTCGTAAAATAACATTTTTATCAATTCCAGATTCTTCGGCGGTAGACTTCAAACTAAGCCCTTCCCCAAGCTTGCCAATCGTTCTACCACATGTAAAGGCATCCTGATGTTTTCTTGTAGCCATCTTGCTCGCACAATCTCAGTTTCAGTTGCAGAAAAAAGAATGCCCGGAAATGCTTCTTCCTTTCTTCAGTTGCTTTGCACTGCGCCCTCTGACACCTTGCGCTTTGCTTGCTCTGACGTACTTTCTGACGTCAATGTGCTGATATCTGCAAGCGCATCCTTTTATACTGAGTCAACTTTTCAAGGTACTGATCGCAAAAAGCCGTATTCAAGAGTTTCATGGTTGCATGTCGAATAAAAGAATTTGCTGTTATTAAGTTTTGCGCACTAGTATGCATTACGCGAAACGTAATTCTCAAATTCCCGGGACACGTACCATACCAGTTAAGGGCTAAATACTGTTAAGGGCTAAATAATGCTCATATCACGTGAAGGAATTAGGACGAGAAAATGCAAAATATCTTAAAGAACTATGAAAATTATTGCTTTAGTTTGATTTTTACGCAATACCTTCGTCTAAAGACGACTAGTTTTAAGACTGTTTCGGATGATTTGGATTTTTATACATGTAGTTAGAGAACATGAATATCGATGATATTCAGCACCATTATCATTTAAAGGTACAATGCTGCCCATTATAAATAAAGCGTATAAACACAATGGCAGTTTCTTTGAAATCGATGAAAACGGTGTATAATATTTTTTATGTATTTCCGATGCGATCTGCGTTAGTGAAAGAAAGTGAATCATTTAAAAAAATAAGTATTCATACTTCTGGATAGCATTTTGTAACAGGTACCTTTCCATGCCATAAGTATGATTAAACGAAATATATTTTAATGCATTAAAGAATTATTCTAATGCGCTATAAAAAAATCTTTATTTCTTTATTTCCAAATTTATGGCCCTGTTTCTTTTATATATTGGCACCTGTAAAAAATTACATCTACACAATAATGAATTGTTTAAACATCTCATAGCAGCCGGTAAATAAAAAAGCTTTTATATGATTATGGTAAATGAAAATATGATGAAATATACTCTTCTGCGTTACAGAGTTAAAGGCAAAAATTCCTTATATTCTCCCCTCGTGTAAAGAACAACTGGGGAAAGGGAAAAGTCGGCCATATAGTCGCTCACATAGTCGGCCATATTCAGATGATGGCGAATTATAGTACACCATATTTTAGATGTGCCTGACTGGCATATATTGTTTCTTTTATATAATGATATATTTTTATAACACGATGTATTTTATAATGATAAAACAAACTCCAATGCAAAAGACATCTGAAGATTGTGATAGTACCTGTAGTGTGTAGCATTTCATATAATCGTATATGGAGACAGTGATATTAAAATAAATTTTATCTGAGTGAGCTTTCCCTATTATGGAAACAGGTAAAAGTATGCAATTATAGAAAAGAACACTCTTTCAGACTATATACACCATAATAGCGTTAACAACTCAATACACTAATTTGTTGAGTTCTTTTTAAGTTAATGATAATCTTTTCAGAACTTAATTACAATATTTAACTACTAAGTAAATTTTTAGGTAAAAGCTCAGAATACGCCGCGTAAACACGAAAGCGAAGCTAAGTGACGTCAATAAATGGATAGAACTAAGTTTGTGACGTTAGAGTGTCTTCTCTATGGACATGGTTTTCTCGCATTTGAGCTACGTGTATTTACTATTTCTGCTGAAAATGACAATAATCAATTTTTTATTATTGTTAGTGAATATTAAATTCTTTATTCTTAATTAATTTTAACAATTTGATTTTACTAAAAATAAGTAAAGTAAACTGCTTGTTTTAAATTAGAATAATTCAATCCTACCATTTATGAAAACTGTAAACAACAAGTGTCGCATACTTAAGTTTCAAACAACTGCAATGATTTTTAAGTTTTGGAATTAATAAAAATAAGAACAATTTTTTTTTTAAATTTAAATTTACATCGCAGAACCCCTTAACTCTACACTCTTCACAAATGACTTCATTGCTACACAAAATTCCTTATATACTATAAAGAGATAATATTCATTATAATATAAAAAGATTTAAGAAATGAATGTATTACTGAAAAAGAAAAATAATGCTTTCCCGTAAATGAACATCATACATAGCTTTCATTTCACTTATTCTTAGATTCTTAAATAACGTTATATTGTGCATATTAGTATTCCGTATCTCAATAACTGTAAAATATCTAATTTCTCACAATAAAGAAAATATGATACGAAAATAAAAAACCACAAATTTATAATAATGAGCAATGTTTCAGAGGAAAATATAAAATCAAGTGCAATTACAATAGCGAATACAATGGTATTAAAATAATGATGGGAATGATACTTATCAAGTGGAAGTTTGCGGTTTTCTCGACTCGACTTTTGGCTTAAGATCGTCCTACTATTAATATTTATAGTACGCCGAAAAACATTACCAACATATCAAAAAGAAAATAATGGAAAATCCAGTTTAAAACACAAAAACTGATGATTAAAAATACAATTTACAATAGAAGAAATAAAAAATAGAAAATGATGCATTACACGTAATCAATAGTATAATACTGTTGTTCTTCCCATGTACACAGATATCTGCTTTCGCTTACAATAAATTAGAGGATTGCACAAACTCGGCATTGTGCACAGCATCGCCACTGAACACCAGCCGTGATCATGGTTCACCTAGAACAGTTGCAACTTCAACATACACTCCAATGTAATAAAATAAAAGCGAGTTCCTAGTTTTTCCCTATTTTTAATCTTCTAAAATACGCCATTTTAAAAATAACAGCAATCAGAAACACAGAACAAATGTGCGAAAGAGAACTATCACACAAATCCACTGGTGCAAGTTTTAATAAAAGTAACGTAAAAATGATGCAACCTAAAAATTTAAGCTACCATGACAATTTCATTATATAATAACGAAATCGCCAACTTTAGAGTGAGTTTGATATATTTCACTTCAGCCAATAAAAATAAATAAAACTTATCTTCAGTCGTCGGCTTTAGCCGAACATAACTGTGTTTGGATCTTGGAACACATGTGTCCTTCGACCTCGAGGCAGCTGAACGCTTTCCAGCAAATGAAAATCACAAATGATGGGGGCAAAAGATTTGCTTTAATTATTTCTAAAAATGACTCAGCTCCAGTGGCTTCAACCTATCTGTCTCGGTCTTTTTAGTTATTCTTAACTCATCGTTACTACTATACTTATCTCGTTACATCATTTCAGACTCTCTAATATATTCTAACGCCAGCGCAGTCTCGCTCCTTGACTGCTTAGCGCATGCGCAAGAATTCTACAATTGAAACCAGTCGATTTTTTCAGGGAAGGCAAAAATTCAAAGAGTAGAGTAGGGTTTGGAAATGCGCTCTCCACTCGTGTGGCCTAACATACAAACAGCTGCTTAACGGTACAGTGGTTAAGGAAGCCGGCCTCGATCAAGGCCAACTATGATACTGACAATAAGATTCCATAGATGGAACCTTTCAGAACAAGTAGTTTCTATTACCATTACTTAATTTCTTAGCAGCACTTTAACAAAACTGTGTATAGTATGTACGGCCAGTAAAAATATAAACTTCTTTCTGAAATCGCAAATTCTTTTATTGTTAGGTTCAAAGATCGACCACAACAGTAGTCTCAAACCTTTTACACGGCCTTGAATATATTTCAATTATGCATATGTTGTAAATAAGGTGCTTATAGTTTCACACATATAGTGACAGCGGCAGAGATTTGCCTTATCAATGGTCTTTTTGAATGGAAAAGGTGAAAGAATGAGTATGTTGGATTTCGTCACCATATGCTTCTATGTCCCCCCTCGCGATTGCAGGCCCTCAGCCAACTTCAGCTTGGCCAATAATTTGTCTGTTTGACTGGCCTCGATACCAAACGGCTCGGATTCGAAACCCGGAGAAGGCTTAGTTGTAACTGTCCGTCTCTTCATAGAAGGCAAAAGCGGCTCAACTATTCAATGCCTTCATAATAAAGTGATCACCACTTCCGGCCTCATTCTTGGCCAAGCTGAAGTTGGCTGAGGGCCTGCCATCGTGGGGGGGGGGGACATAGAAGCATATGGTGACGAAATCCAACATACTCATTCTTTCACCTTTTCCATTCAACAAGACCATTGATAAGGCAAATCTCTGCCGCTGTCACTATATGTGTGAAACTATAAGCACCTTATTTACAACATATGCATAATTGAAATATATTCAAGGCCGTGTAAAAGGTTTGAGACTACTGTTGTGGTCGATCTTTGAACCTAACAATAAAAGAATTTGCGATTTCAGAAAGAAGTTTATATTTTTCCTGGCCGTACATACTATACACAGTTTTGTTAAAGTGCTGCTAAGAAATTAAGTAATGGTAATAGACACTACTTGTTCTGAAAGGTTCCATCTATGGAATCTTATTGTCAGTATCAGCTGATATTCTGAGAAAGCAGAGAGAAACAACTCAACTTTAACCTTGTTGGCAGGTCTTGGAACAAGATCGCACATGTCGTGGTGTTGGACACCGCTGTTGAATGCAATCTTGTGCTCAAAATTATGTTATTGTTTGTTCAATTGTTAAAGAGTGTGACTTACGGGTTTGAGTGTGGATAATATAGTGTGTGTTATCCGTGTGATTGTTCAGTCGCGGGAACTTGACTGTTATTAAGTTAGTGCGCAAGTGCAGGTTAGAAATTTTTTTAACACCTTAATTTGTTCTTATTTTTTAACTTGCATGTATTTTAAAAAATTAATGATGTATTACAAAAGTATATTTGCAGGTGATATGTTAAGAGTAATTTCTTTGCCTTTCGTTTACTTTTTACTTGTATGCAATGCCGTAGAGAATGTGTTATGTTTGTATTGATTGTGGTAGGTATGGTATGAGAATTAACTTGATGTGCTAATTACGTTATTAAGAAGTAATGCATATTTGTTTTAAATTTAAACCGTTCTGCTTTAATTAATAGTACTTAAAATTAATAATTGACTACCAAAAATGCCATAACTGGAAATATTTCACTATAAAAAGCAGTTTTGTAGTGAAAAAACTTTCTTTTTTTTTTTTTTTTCATATTTCTTAATTATTTTACGTTGATTTCTAGTTTATTTGTAACTTGTGAATTTTATTAAAAGGGGGAAAAAAAGAGAATAATCCTGAAATATAGCTCCTTGCGATTTTCTTTAAAAAAAAGCAGGCCCTTTAAAAGAATCTGGGCTGGTAATTTGAACTGCTCTCCCCTCTCTTTGCAGCAATAAATATAAAAATTAAATAAACTCATCATATGCATACATATGATGAGTTTATTTATTTATTTTATCAGATATACTATTTCATGCATATTTAGATGTTATTAACTTTTACTTTGAAAATTTTTTAATAATAGTTCATAGGCTGGGACAAGCTAGCTCCCAATTGGTATATATTCTATAATTTAGGTATATCTCCTTCACATCCAATCCGCCCGACACGGCCCTACATTGTTTCAATGTAGAACCAGAACCGCCCGTAAACGGCCGAGATTGTAATCTTTTCTTCCCTCCCCATTAAGGTATGCAGTAGCACATGCACTTTTCCCAAATGTATTGTATCAGTTACTGCAGACAGCTTGTCCGACGATGTTTTCTTTATCTTTTGGTTGATCGTGACACTTTGTTGTTGATTCTTTTGTGGTACAGTGCGCTTTTAAGCTTTAAACAGCAATTAAAGAGCAGTTTAAAAATTTAAGGGTTACATTTATTTTTAAACAATTTATTCCTTCCTATAAAAATAACGGAGGTAAAAGTTTACAATTGGGTGCCCCTTGTTTTTTGGCGATTCTTTTTTGATGCCAAGATCGGTGCCAGGAAGACACAATTTCAAGATGGCCGCTACACAAAACCAAAATAAAAAGTCAAAGAATTGCATAAACTCTGTGTCCATGTACAATCGATCTGTTTTCACTTAAAAAAAATCCCAGAACTGCACAAACTAGGCATTGCGCACTGTTTAATTTGTCCATGTAACATTATCTTTTTATTTTAAAAAAATCAGGAGCTAAAGCAAAGTTACCTATCATGGTAACCAGAAATATGATTTCGTCCCCAAAATTTTACAAAAAATTGTCGCTAATCGAAGGGGCACCCAATTCTACACTAGAGCCATAATGGAAATACAGTCAGAAGTCGTTAATCTGGACTCGTCGGGACTTCGGCGATTCCGGATTATAGATCATCAGTTTAAATCTGGTAAGATGGCATGCAGAAATTATAAAATTAAAAATATGAAACCGTAATTTATGAAATAAAGAACAATTATGATCTAAAGGGTATCAAAATTTACAAAAAAAAAAAAAAAAAAGCTTAATATTTATTTGTTTACTTTTTATTAACATTTCTTTCAATGTAAGTTGTTTCGTTTTTTTATTTGATAATACATTTTCTTTAATTCTATAAACAGACATATTTCTTGTTTCAGTTACAAAGTTCCGCTGTTCAAGTCCTATAATTGCTGTGTCGAGAATACCGGCTAATTTGTCAATCGAAATTTTTTCGTTTTCAATAACCTCTGTCACTTTCTTCGCTATCGGAAGCGAATTATAATGAGGAGGAATTTGATTTAAATCATATCAAAGACGGAGTACATCGAAATAAAATACTACATTTAGTAAGGAATTATAAGCCAAATAAAATAAAAACATCTGCCCTGAAGATAAGGATAGTGCTGACAGATCAACTTCCAATTCATTACGCGTCACAGCGTTAAAGATAACCAAAGTTTAGATAAACAAACGTTAAAGTTTAGATAAAGGATTATGCCTTTATCCATTTTTTGCAGCAATTCCACTTTTTGTTTAATGGGCTTCTAAACATACTATCACTTTGTAGATCCTTTACATATTAGTAAATATATATGAGAATCTATTTGACATAATCGAAAGTTCCAAGCTTACTTTTATTAAATTGCTCTAATAGTCTGCAAAAAAATAATAAGCCGAATTCAATTCGAAGATTAAGGAACAACACAATCTGCAACATTAACTGAATTAGATAATTTTAGCTTACCTTATACCATCCGTTATACATTAAACGCGCATTCGTAAACGTATTTTGTGCGCACGCGTATTCACAGCCGTAAAGGTCGTCAAAACGACGCATGCGCAGAAAGTTTGTAGCTTTGAGGTCCGGATTATAGATCATTCTGGATTATGGGTGTCCGAATTAACAACTTTTGACTGTATACAAAATCTCAGTCGTGATCATAACAAAGCTGGAAAGGCTTGTTGATTTGAGCTTCAGAATAGTTTTATAAAGAACGGGGACAAAGGCTAATGGAATCTTTGTTAGAAAGTACAAAGGATGTCATTTTAAATCTTCACACCTATTTTCTATTTTCTGTGTTAATGGACAGGGAGGAGAAGAAATTGCTGGAAAAGTATTTCGGGCGGTTCGGGTATTTTGAGGATACAGCTTAGCGAAGGGTCTGGATTTCAAAGAGATATATTCCATAATTTAGGGATATAGGACAGGATTCTCAATCATCTGGACAGGATTCTCAATCATCTGAACAATCTGAAATGTCATAGGGGTGGTGGGCACATTTATTCTTTTCTTTTTTTGATCGAGTTCTTTATAAATAGGTACTAAATAGTACAGGTAAAAGTTTATGATATTTGACATTGTGTTTCGTAGGCCATTGCTTCATAATTAAGAGAGTACGATGATATTCCTACTCGTAAGTAATCATCAAGATGTTCATCTTTAAGATTTAGATCTGTACTTTGATTTTGTGACACTCATTGTTAAAAACAATGGTATTTGACATTTTTTTAATGAATAATCTGATCAAAATAACAAATTGGCTGGAATGCCTGGACCATACCTTCAGAGTGTGACAATACCGATCGAACCTGGATGTCTGTCAACACCATTTAAAATTATTAACATATGAATAAATAATTTTTTAAATGTGCTTATGAAAACTCTTTAATTAATTAGTAACTATAAAAATTTTTAGTAGCATCTTAAAGTAATATTTTTATTGTGGTTGCACAGTAGTAGTAGACACGTTGATGGGTGCAATGATGCTGAGGATCCATGATATAGAGTTTTGGAATATTTGCAGTAACTTGTGCTTCTTTTTCAATATTTTTCATGGGGTCCACTTATGGCCAACACTTAGCCATGGGTATTTTTTGAGGTCATTTCTAAGTATAGTTGTAAGTATCTCTTATGAAGTCTTCCTTGTAGGCATTCGTCTTCATATGTAGATAATCCTTTTGTGCTGCGAGGTATTTTAGTAGAGAAACCAGTATTGCTCATCTGAAAATTATTATGTAATTAACATGTCATATATAACATGTAAAAATATATATATACTATATGTTGAATGAAACCTGATATGTTGCTTAGTTACTAATTTATATGTTTAAATAGATGTTATGTATCGCAAGTAACCAATAATTAATCTAATGACAACAAGTGAACGTACATGTATCAGTTTTTAACAGAAGTTTCCTGTAACTGCAAATATCGTCTGCATGAACAGTTTGCTTTGGTGTGTTTAATCATATTTTGCCAAACGATTTTTGGCATTTGAAAGAAAGAAGGAGATTGCTTTAAAGCACTGTGTGTAATTTGTAAAAAAAAATATCGTTATCATTAAGTACAAGGTGTTTGAAATGGAACTATCATGCTACCAGGTTAGAACCATCGGTAAAAGCGCAGAATAGGCTGCATCAACAAAGTTCAGTATGAGGAGCTGCGTGACGTCATTAAATGGGTGGGACTAAGCTTATGACGTCACAATGTAGTCTCGCATTTACACTACGTGTACTTTCTATTTTCTCTTAAAAATAACAATAATAATTGTTTATTATTGTAAATTAATATCAAATTCTTTACTTTTATTTACATTTATAACATTTAAGTTTAGGCGTTACTGATAATAAGTATAATAAATCGTTTATAAAATTACCATGATACAGTGAGCGAATTCTATTCTACAATTATTAAAACGATAAACAACGTCGCAGTCTCTAATAGTTGTAGAGCTTCAATATTAAATTATTATTTTTTTATTAATTTTTTTATTTATACAAATAAAAACTATTTTTTTTAATTTAAATTCATATTGTGGAACATTTCCAATTTATCATTTTTACAAATTACCTTCTTGCTACGTAACGACATAATTCCTTACATACCAATAATTAGACAATTTTCATTATTTCTAAAAATTTTAAACTTTACGTTAATAAAAAAAAAAGAATATTTTTTATTGCATATGAACATCATTACACAGCTTTCATATCAGTTTCTAAAATTCCTAAATCACGCTATATTCTGTGCAGGCATGCTAGAATTCTACGCATTAATAAATAAAAAAATCTAATTTCTCAGAATGAAAGAAAAATAATAATAAAATAAATACTACAAAACTTGGAACACTAAGCAATGCTTCACATACGCACACACCACATATTATTTGCAATTACGATACCAAACACTACGTATTAAAATATGAGGTAAACGTTACTTCAAGCGTTAAAGTTTACAGTTTTGCTACTGTTGAGTCGATCGTCGGACTATCCATATATATCGTAAATCGGAAAGCGTTATAAACATATCAAAAAAACAAAAATTAAAAATACAATTTAAATGAAAAATGATGTCTTAAATATAATTCACAATTAAAACAACAATACA